TCCTTGCGCGAAGGTGGCAACAGCGGAGCAGACCGCCAGGCTATTCATAGACCACGTGTTCCGGGTGCACGGCTTACCACGGTCCATTTTGTCCGACCGGGGTCGCCAATTCATTTCCAGTTTCTGGCAGAAGCTCCTGGGCATCCTGAATGTCAAGATCAACTTAGCGTCGGCGAGACACCCGCAAACCAACGGCCAAGCGGAGAGGGTCAACGCCATCATGCAGCAGTACCTGCGATGTTACGCCAATCAGAAGCCTGCAACTTGGGTGGACTACTTACCGATGGCCGAGTTTGCCTACAACAACACGAAGCACGCGTCAACGGGGGTGACACCGTTCTTCGCCAACAATGGGCGACACCCCAGAACATTCCCGGCGTTGGAGACGACGACGCAGGGGGAGTCGCAGGGAGCGGAACATTTAGCAGCAGAATTGCAGGAGGTCCACGAGGAGCTACGACGGCACTTGGAACTAGCTAAACACGCCTACAAAGTGCAGGCAGACAGGCACAGGAGGGCAGGAGAAGACATCCAGGTGGGGGACTGGGTATGGTTAGCAGCCCAGGCGGTGCCGGCCAAGTCGTTAGCTAAGAAGAAGCTAGGACACAAACAGCTAGGGCCATACCAAGTTGAGGGCAGGATCAATCCCGTAGCTTTTCGGTTGACCCTCCCAGAGGATTCCCGAATGCACCCGGTCTTTCATAGGTCGGTGCTTACACCCTACAAGGCCCCACACAGATTTCAGGAGCCAGGGACGGCACCAGACCCGCGTAGGAAGTCACCAGGGGGAAGTCACCGAGGACCCCGACACTCAACGAGGTCACGGAAATTCTGGACTCGAGATGGGGGAGGAGGGAGTGGAATACCTCCTCGCCAGGGAAGGTACCCTGGCTAGCGCCAACAGTTGGGTGCCAGATTATGCTCTGGAGGAACCTTTGCTTAAGGACGAGTTCCATGCACTCTTCCCACACAGGCCCATGCCAGAGGAGTATTTTGACGACTGGCTTTTTACCCCCACACTTTCAGGCAGCACCTTCAGGGGGTTCTCCTCTGCGGAGGAGACCACGCCGCAGTCGAGCCCTCCAAGGGGATCGGGCTCGGGGTGGACACGGACCGCTCTTATTGGTGGGACGATCAACCAGAAGTGGGGTGGCGAAGGGGACCTTGGCAAGCAGCTTCGCCTGAAGTAACAGGGGGAGGGAAGGGTTTGGAGGTGTTGGGGGGAGGACCCCGGTTTCGAGCACTCCTACACTGAACTGGAAGCAGAGGAGATCGACGTCGACGAACTGTATCCAGCATCTACCCCCGCTACAACGAAGCTCCCGGAACCTGCGCCCGAGCAGCGGGAGGGGGAAGGGGGGGCTTCGAGGGGGGGATGTCAGGGGTTCAGAGAGAGAGGCACAGGGTAGGCAGGAGATGGAGAGCGAGGGGAGGAATTCCAAGCCAGCGAGGAAGAGGACGACAATGACTCAAGGGATTCCATGAGTCTTTCCAGCGAATCAGAGGATTCCCAGAAGGGGGCGCCGGTGGTCAGGGCCGGAGGAGCCCCAGGGGGGAAGTGTCAGGAGCAGGGTGCCAGCGGAGGATCCCAAAGTGGCAGCTGGGCGTCAGGACCAGCCTCCCCACCAAAGTGCAGCGAAGGGGGTGGAGTTTCCAGTGTGTCAGAGGAAGCAGCTCCAGCAGCAGAGAAAGGAGGGGGGTCAGAGCAAGCCGCCCTCCCGGAAGGGGAGGGGAGCAGTGAAGGGAGTAGTGTAACTGTCAAAAGGAAAGTTAGAGGTTTGGCGCGCGCGCCTAGTTCAAATGTAGAGGCGCGCGGAAGTGCAGGGAGCCCGGAGGAGGGGCCAGGTCCCAAAGCCCGCAGGAGGGGGGGAAGAGCAGTCTGGGGATTCAGCGTCAGAGGAATCCAGAAGGGGCGCAACCCCAGGGGGCAGAAGGACCCTGCGGAAAAGGAAGGAGAGAAAGAGGTGGAGCAGCGCAAGTCTCTTAAATTGGTGCAGAGGAGGGACTGACTCAGAGGGGACTTCGGCGGTCTAGCGTAAGAGACGTAAGGCTGCGCGCCTAGGATGTCAAGCAAACCATGAACTGCAATAAACACCTTTGTATACAAGAAGACGTAGGCGTTGGTCTTTTGTGAGCTAAGACTTGAGGCAGCCTTGACACATGATATCATGATTTTGTGATTCGATATCATGAAATTGTGATATCATACAATCGCTGATATCATACAATCATGAAAGCATACCACGATTTCACACCACAATGCCACGGAATCACAATTTCATGAATTGTGACAACACACAATCATGAAATCATGATATCTTGATCTCACACATTGATATCATGAAATCATGATTTCATGATGATTTCATGATTTCATGATGATTTCATGAATTCATGTTGATTTCATGATGATTTCATGAATTCATGTTGATTTCATGATGATTTCATGAATTCATGATGATTTCATGATGATTTCATGAATTCATGATGATTTCATGATTTCATGAATTCATGAATTCATGATGATTTCATGATTTCATGACGATTTCATGATTTCATGATCTCATGATGATTTCATTATTTCATGACGATTTCATGATTTCATGATCTCATGAAATTCATGATGATTTCGTGAATTCGTGATGATTTCATGATCTCGTGAATTCGTGATTTCATGATTTTGTGATTCCATGATTTCATGATTTCATGAATTCATGAATGCGTGATATGATATCTCAAGACCACACAATCATGATTTCATGATTGTATGATTTCATGATGCCTATATCATGATCGTTTGTGGAATGATATGATTGCTTCATATCATATTGGCCCAAATATAAGCCACACTTTTTTTTCCAAATTCTGGCTGTGAAAAGTTAAAGTGCGCCCTATATTTGGAACGAAGCACTGCACGCATGCCTCCTGACACTACTGCTCTGAATGGGGAAAGGGGGGCAGGCGTTGTGGGCTTGGGTGGCGGTAGTACCGGGAGGCAGGCCACGCCCATAGATAAGCCTTCAATTTTAAAGGTGTGGCTTATTTGCAGATGCGTCTTAGATTTGGGCCAATATGCAGTGGCGTAGCGTGGGGGGGCCCGGCCGCACCGGGCGCAACATCTGGGGGGGGCGCTCGCACTCGCAGCTCTCTGCCCCTACCTGGCTCCACGGGTTAGGGGGCGCAAATTACTTGCCTTGCCCCGGGTGCTGACAACCCACGCTACGCCACTGCCAATATGGTATTACAATACTATGATTGTATGATCTTTTTTTGCTCTTTGTGCCTCTTTAGAACAATACCTGTCGCACTTTAATGTCGTCTTCTACAAAGATCCATTGACCTCGCTAGTAAGCCACCCAGAATGCCTGCACTCTCGTTCTTTTGCAATGGCTTTGTGAAATGATGATGGTGATAATAATTAAATACTGCCAAAATTCACCCATAAATATCAACTTTTGTTTTGCTTTGTCCCTTAACATGAAGCTGAAGAGGAGGATTTAAAGGCTGCTTGTGGACAAGCAATTTTGAAACATATTTTAGTTTATTTGCTTCTCTTAAAATTGCAGCCTACAAAAGAATGCAAGCTTCTTCCTGGGCTGAGGGAACTGGACAGGGAACCAGACGAGGCTGCTTTGTAGCAAGTCAAACCTCAGATCCATCTCATTCAGTCCTGCCAGCCCTGACTGCAATATACCCCTCTTGCCCCCCTCGCCAGCCAAGTGGCTGCTCCAGCCCTGCCAAACTGCCCTTCCCTCCTCGGGAAGCCACAAAGGTCTTCCTCCTTGAGGACCCCCAACGTCCAGAGCCAACCACACGCCCCCAAAGCGCTGCCACCCAAGCTGGGGCAAGGAGCCAGACAACTCTGGAGTTGCCCACCGTCAGAAACTCACCTGCCCTGGGACTCTTGGGAGGAAGAGGTGAGGCAGTGCACAGGGCCAGATTTAGGTTTGATGAGGCCCTAAGCTACCGAAGGTAATAAGGCCCTTTATATGTCCAGCTGTCCTGTCAACAACAAATTGTCTCTGTTTTTGTGTGTTGAATATATCCTCTATGGTAATTGATGGACCTCATAAGTATCTCAAGCCATTTGCACATCACAAAAGATGTATTTTATCAAAGTCATTGTTGAACTGAAATACAATTAAGAAGAAGTATATTCATAGTGAAATACAATTAAGAAGTATATTAATAGTGAAATAATTATTCAGCTCTAACTTGAAATGATTTTTCATTCATAAACTTAATACTGCAAACACATTGGGCAAGAACAAAAGTTCCTTTAGGAACACAATTTACAAAGACTCATCTTCTAGTCTCTAGAAACTTGCTATAACATGAAATAAGGATAGGTGCAAATACGTGATGCAAATGACTCATAATCATAAATAGCTTTACTCATATGAAATTAAGTGTTATAACCTGTACAATGCAACTGTAGTTTATACAATGCATTTTTAAAATATAATATCAAGATTACCATTGTAGTCCACACTGTTCATTGGGACAGCAGACCTTTGTACCCTGTTACAATTAGTACGGTAAGTGTAAAAGACAGTATTTCTAGTAATATGTCACATTCATAAATAATACCAATACTATACACACCTGTACATCAAAAAATTATTTAACAGGACTAATTATATTAATGCATCTACCCAATACCCCTTCAACTGTATAATTTTATCATGATTCATTGTTAATTTGCTGTTTCAGGGGTTGTTTTTAAAAGTCTGGAACGGATTAATCCCTTTTGCATTCCTTTCTATGGGAAAGCGTGCCTCGGTTTTGGAACACTTTGGTTTTGGAACAGATTTCCAGAACGGATTAAGTTTGAGAACCAAGGTACCACTGTATAAAGAAATGAGCAAACCCGTGATATTTTAGGGAGCAGGCTAGCAGGGGGGGCCCATTCCTTATGTCATAGGAGCCTACACAACACAAAACACTGTTGCTGTATGTACCGTAGGTTTTATTTCATTTTTTTTTTTATCTTATATTTTGGAAATGTACATCCAGGTTTTTTCCCCCTTTAAATTTTTTTGGGGCCCCCAAGAGAGTGGGGCCCTAAGCTATAGCTTGTTTAGCTTATACGTAAATCCGGCATTGCTCCCACCTCCTTCTCAAAGACTAGTTTGCACTTGCTCAGCTTTGGGAAGGAGCTGGGAGGCCTCCAGGACCCTGCAGGAGCCCTTGGATCTCCTTCCGAAAGCCCAGCACAGTGCTAGGTGCTAGGGCTGGGGCAGACCGGGGAGGCACCAAATTTTGGCCAGTCTGACCCTGGGGAGCCTTTATTGCTGAAGACCTTGCTCTGTAGATGCTCTCTGCCTGCAGATGCTTTCTATGGGCCCTTCCCAGGGATCATAAAATTGCAGGCTAAGCTTTCTTTAACCGAGCAAGGACCTTAGCTTCTATTTGTCTTGCTATTTTTTATTTATTTATAAGAACGTTTACAAGCCAGCTCATTCATATGCAAAGATATGGTGCTGTACAATAAGTTGTTTTAAAGTTGTTTGAAAAACAGCAACTGCTGTATCCTTTAGAGTTTGTTGCCCTGTGTTCCTTTTGGAGGAAGCGAGGTGGGTATAAATGTAATTAATTAATACATTAATTAAATTCATTCAGATTGTAAGATAATAAAAGACAGAATGAATGACCAGCTCGTTCTGAATCAAAGAAGTCCTTGAAAAATGCTCACTACTTCTTTTGCCATTTTGAAGACATTGCATTTGGATAGCTCTCTTGTGGCCAGGATGGCGAGAAACCTAAAACAATGTTGTTGTTGTTGTTTTAAAAAATGATGTTTTCGTGGGCAAATCTTTCCAGATAACATGGACAGAGCCGGATTACAGGGAAGAGATCTTCCCAAAGAATTTATGTGCTATTCTTTTCTATCCGAGAGCCCCCACCTCGTTTGACCTTCAAAGATGGACCACCCTCGGTTTCCAAAATGGGTCAGTGCTTCCCATACCTTTCAACTCTCCTCAAGGAAGGTTGCGCCAGACATTGCACAAGATGCTGTTTTCCTGAAGGCTGGTTTTTCCTGCGCCCGGGCTGGCTGTTTGATGTGGAAGCCTTTGAGGCCCCAACAAGGAAATGTGCACAGCAAGTTAGCACAGGGTCTTCTGAACATTAAATAAAGCAGTTACAGCAGCAACAAGCAGCCCTGGGAGACAGCCAATTAGGCAATGTCTGGTTAGCAGAATACCATTTAGTCCACCCCCACCAGCTTCCTCCACCAGCCACAGGCAGATCCAGAGAAGGCTGGAGAATTTGTATGTCTTTGTAGGCAGAAAAAGAAAGGAAGGAAAAACCTTGTAGTTGTAAATGAGAACATACATACAGCCCTGTTGAATCAGACCTCAGGTCTATCTAGAGCAGGATCTTGCTCTGCACAGGGGCACCATTAGAAGATAAGAAGAGATGGGCTGCTGGATCAGGCCAAAGGGCGCCCATCTAGCCCAACCTCCTGTTCTCGCAAGGAAAGCCCACAAATAAGATCAGAGTGCAACAGCAACTCTCCCCACAGGCAATTCCTGGCAGCTGGCATCCAGAGACCTGGAGGTAGATTCATAGAATCACAGAGCTGGAAGGGACCCTGAAGACATCTAGTCCAACCCCCTGCAATGTAGGAATATTCAGCTGCACCATACAGGGATCAAATCTGCAACCTTGGCATTATCAGCACCACTCTCTTACCAACTGAGCTAGAACATAGTATTCATCGATAGCCTTTACCCTCCTCCATGAGTTCGTCCCATCCTTTTAAAAATCTGTCTGAGTTTGTAACCATCACCACATCTTCTTGCAGCAAACACCATTGTTTAGCTACTTGCCTGGGTGCATCGTGTGTCTGTCCTGAGCCTTAGCCCATTCAGTTCCAATTCTAGTATTCTGAGGGAGAATGCCTGAAAACTGAAGATGCTTTGGGGTGATGCCAAATTCATGTGAAATTTATTGGACAAAAATGGGCTGAAGCCCATTCAAAGCAGCAAGAGCTTGCCTCTGAGCTTGTGCAGAGGGCATTTAGAAACAGAAAGAACTTGTGCTTCCTGTAGTCAACATTTTCTTTTCTTTCAACTAACCACCAAGAAATAAAGACAGATTTTCTTGCTGTTGCTTTGGGATTGTTCCACATGGGGTTTCCTTTGCCATAAACAGACAGACCATAAGGGGGGGGGGGGGAGAACCTGGCTTATAAAGCTATTTTTAAAAGGAGGAAATAATATATATATATATTTGACAATTAACTTACAGTTTTGTTTATTTTAAGCACATTTTTTGTGGTATCCAATGTTAGTTCTCCTCAAAGCAGGCCCATTGAAATTTATGGGTGCCACTAACTTGGGTCCATTCATTTCAATGGGTGCACTCTGTGCAGAACTTAGTTGTGGGCAAACCACAGTTTGCTGTGATGCCTAGATTGGTAAGTGCCTTCTCTCAAAGCCATGCTTTGAATATGGACATTTATATATTCACCCCATTCCTTGCCATGTCTCTCAGTCATACCATGATTACAGCCGGCTCCAAACCACCCCAAATGAGGATGAGGAATAAAATTGTTTTCATATGTTTGTTTGCCTTGCGTTGTGGCCTACTTGCTTCATGCTGAAGGATGGTCCATAAGGAGTCCTAATTTGGCATAATGTGTTATCATAATCTGTGGGGTAGAGGACAACATTCTTCTTGACTTAGAAGTGCACCTCTGAGACAGACAGAGACAGACAGCTGTTATTTTTGGTAACTTCTCTGTGTGATCTTTGCAACTCTTGGGGAAAAGGCGCTAAACCAAAAAATAATAATCTCTTTGCAACAGGCAGCAAAAAGGGGTTTTTGAAGTTCTCGTCTTTCTGCACAGCTGTTCCTTCTTCCCTGCAGACTGTTGCAGATTGAGAGAGAGGAAACTCAACAGTAGAAAGAGAGAGAGTGAGAGAGAGCGAGAGAGAGCGAGAGAGAGAGAGAGAGAGGATTAAAATTCAGCCACTACATAGGGCTAATTTGTATACATGCACAATCATTGTTTGATAAACGCAACCTCAAGAGAGGACTCACTTGAATGAATGGGGCATCATATTAACACCACAGAGGCAGAAATGGATGTATCTCCAACCCAAGAATTCATGGACATCCAATGAAACTGACTGTTGAGAGATTCTGGGCAGATAAAATAAAAGATTTGTTCATGCAGCACCTAAACTGTGAAACTTGTTCCTGAAGGAGGCAATGGTGTCCACCAGCTAAGATGGCAGTAACACAGGACCAGACAAATTCACAGAGGAGAAGGCTATCGATGGCTGCTCCACAGCTGAAAGCAGAAAGCAGAAATGCTTCTGAATACAATTTGCTTGAAACCACAGCAGGGGAGAGTGCTTTTGTGCTCAAATCCTCCTTGTGAGTTTCCCACCAGTATCTGGTTGGCCAGTGTGAGAACAGGATGCAGGAGTAGAGGGCCTTTTAGCCTGATCCAACAGGCTTTTCTTACATTCTTATTCTTGCATACTTCAGTTGGCTGCCATGTTACATGGACAATTCAATAAGACCCCCAGTTAATGAATGGATATATTTGTATGAAGCTGTAGAAGTAGAATCTGCTGAACGTGTCCTCCTATACTGTAGCCTGTATAGTGAATGGAGAGAGAGGTTACCGGTAATTCTCCCTCTACTGACAGCTTTTCCAAGAGAATTCTAATATAAGGCCCAGGTAGGGAGACTTGGAGGGACATATTTGCTGCCACCCAAGGTTCCACAGCTGTGTTCTAATAGGTCTAAGAGAGACTTCCTAAGAAGTCAAAAGAAACCTCATAAAAGGTATGAGAGAAGCAGTGAATAGCAGTGGCAATCATCTATCTGTACTTACAATAAGAATGTAAGAGTGTCACCACACAGAAGTAGTTCATGTGGCCATTGACAGACAGTGGAGTGAGCAGGGGTACAGTCCCTAGTTAAACTTTAAATTGCTATGCATTCCCACCAGTGTCTCAAAAGGACACTAATATACTGAGGTTTTGGTAATTTGCATATATGCAAATTGTGGTGGCTTGAAACCTGGATGGTGAAAAGCAGAATATTTTTTTTATTTTTAAATTAAAGAAATGTGGAGCCCACCATCAACAGGTAAGGTAGTTAATTGACTGAAATTATTTCATTTGATAGCAGCCCATTATTTTTTTTTTAAACTCATCTTGTTCTTATTTAACCCATTTAAATTGTTGGAGGTGAGTAATGCTACAGTCACACCATACAATCAAAAGCCCTTTGATACCACTTTAAACAGTCATGGCTTCCACTAAATAATCCTGAGAGCTGTAGTCTGCTAAGGGCACAGATTGCTATTAGGAGGAACCCCCCCCCCCAATTCCCCTCATAGAGCTACATTTCTCAGAGTTCCCTAGGAGTAAGGATTGGTGGTTCAAACCACTCTGAGAATGCCATGTTTTTTTTTGGGGGGGGGGAATAGGAGCCTCAGCACCCATAACAAAGGGCAGCTCCCAAGCCCCTTGGGAAAGCAATGAGTACTTAAAGTTGGTATCATAGTGCTTTAAAATATGGAATGGATGTGGTCTAAAACAGGCCTCCTAATTTTGGTAGGTCTACTCTTAGTTTGATTCAGTTCTACCCAGCTCTGCAACACATACTTGGGATTCAGGGCTTAATGAGTCAGATCAGAAAGAGAAGGAGACAGACAGACAGACAGACAGACAGACAGAGAAATAACATTGCCCCCCCCCTTTCTCACTCCCCCACCAACTAAACACACATTTCCTCTCCATAGGGCTGTGTTTTCTCCAGCCCACCTCCTCCTTGGCTGTCAGTAATGAGCAGTTGTTTGCTTGGACAGGGCTCTTTACAGAGTCTGCTTCAGAGAGCAAGGACCAGAGCGGGGAAAGAAGAAAAACAAAATAAACAAAGCTTCAGCTCATCCATGGAAGATCAGAAATTAAAAACAACAACAGTGGAAATCTGCCTGGCTTCTTGAAAGTGGGGAGCTGTAATCTCATTTATTTTTTTTAAGCCTCAGATCCACAGGCAGGCATCTGTTCACCACCACAGAAAACCCAGTTAACTAAGATGACGCCATCATGTATAAAAACATAAAATAAAATTTAAAAGGACAAACTGAAACAATATTCTAGATTTTTAGATATGCTTGCAAAACAGCATCTAAAATTCACCACTCAATTTGCTGGCAGAGAAATTATTTTTTTGGAGGAAGAGGACGGGGGGGGGGGGATTCACTGAATTTTTCCAAGTGGGCAAGGGGATGGAGTGACTCTGATGTGAGGGGAAAGTTGCAGCGTTTGGGGCTTTGGAGTTTAGAGAAAAAGGTGAGAGATGACATGGCAGAAGTTTATAGATTAGTACAATGCATGGAGAAAGTGGCAGAGAAACGTTTTTCTCCCTTTCATGTTATATAGATGTAGAAACATAGCTGTCAACTTACAGATTTGAAAATAAGGGACCAGCAGCCTTGAAAATAAGGGACCAGCAGCCAAAATAAGGGACCTGCAGCCTCACCTGTTCCAGGCACTCCAGTCTTCCTGTCCTCCTGCAGTCTGGTCAAACTCATGCTGGGTAGCTTCGAGAACACTGTCCAACCAACTTTGTAACCAGAGGTTCAAGTGAATAGAATCTGAATCACATGCACCACAAGGCCTATGCAGCTTCAACTTAAGATGGCTCCCCGGCCTGGCTTTGCACTGCAAAGTTTGTAGCAGCACATGCAACAAAATGGCGTCCAGCATTCAAAAACCCCCTCAGCTTGCATTAACTAGCCACACACAAGGCATGTAAGCTCCACCCCCCAGTCGTTCTTAGACTTCTTATTGGGTGAGCAACACAGCCAAGCAACACAGTTGGAACCTTCCTCCTCAATGGCCGGCAGGGAGGAGGGAGAGGAGCTGCTTCCTTTGAAATTTAAGGGACATCATTTAAGGGACATTTAAGGGACATCCATCAATAAGGGACAGCAGAGGAACATGGCGCTGGAATAAGGGACTGTCCCTTCAAATAAGGGACACTTGACAGCTATGTGTAGAAGACATACAATGAAGCTAAATGCTGGAAGATTCAGGGCAGATAAAAGAAAGTACTTATTCACGCAGTACAGAATTAAACTTTGGAACTCACTCCTGCAGGAGTCAGTGGTAGCCATTGTTACGTACTGAGTTGAATAGGATCCAAAATGCAGCAGTCTGACTGGTCCTAGAACAGTAGGATTCAGAATGCAGCAGTCTGATTGGTCCGCAGGAGCCATCCAATCCAGCTCCAGGTGGAAGTGAATCCGCAACCTGATTGGTCTACGGGAGAATCCCGGAATTAGCCAATCACGTACGGCCCATTGTGTAAATAATGTATATAAAGCAGATATTGTGGGGGAACTTTCATTCCTCGCTACTATGAGCTGAATAAAGAGCATGAAATCCACACTTGACTGCGAGTATATTTCAGCCATTAACTTGGAAGACTTTGAAAAAGAACTAGACAAGTTCACACAGGACCAGCAGTGATGCTTCCAAATATCAGTTGCTGGAAACCACAGGAGAGAGGGCTCTTGTCCTCAGGTTCTGTTTGTGGGCTGCAGACACAACAGCGGGATAGAAAATGGAATGGACTGGCTGGCAGCTGGAGTATTCAACACTGCAATGCTGTAAACTGTGTCACTGTGCTATAGCAGGACAAGGTAACTACTCCATGTAGTTCTCATTGCAGCGATGGTGATACAAAGACTGGTCTCTTGCCCTAGCTGAAAAACTTATGCAAAGACTTAAGGTAATGAATGAAAGCAGGAGGGACAAATTTGCAGACACATATTTGCAAGCCTTTAATCAGATAATAGGACATGGGATGCGGGTGGTGCTATGGGTTAAACCACAGAGCCTAGGACTTGCCGATCAGAAGGTCAGTGGTTTGAATCCCCGCAACGGGGTGAGCTCCCGTTGCACGGTCCTGCTCCTGCCAACCTAGCAGTTCAAAAGCACGTCAAAGTGCAAGTAGATAAATAGGTACCGCTCCGGCGGGAAGGTAAACGGCATTTCTGTGCGCTGCTCTGGTTCGCCAGAAGCGGCTTAGTCATGCTGGCCACATGACCCGGAAGTTGTACGCCGGCTCCCTCAGCCAGTAAATCGAGATGAGCGCCGCAACCCCAGAGTCGGCCACGACTGGACCTATTGGTCAGGGGTCCCTTTACCTTTTTACCACCTGCATGCAGCCCCTGGAGGGGACATGACCCTTGGGCTGTAAAGCGTTCCTTTCTGGAAGGACCATATTGCATCCCAAAGCGAAAGACATTCAAATAGTCCCTGCCACTACCTGCAAATGGTAAGATGAACACATCAGGTCCAAGAGGGGTGGGAAGAGATTAGAGATTGCTAATGTCACCAGACAGGGCTATGGATCTATATCTTTCTCTCTCTATATATATACAGTTTTCTGCTCTAACCTGTTTTTTACTTCCACCACCAATGGCCAAGCGCTGTAACGGGATGTGGCTTTTCAACATTCGCAGCTGCTCCAAAGGGAGGGGGGGAGAGAAAAGAAAAGAAAGAAAACAGGCACAAGTGGCGTGGTGAAAAAGAGGAAAGCAGCTCATGAATTATTTATCCTCGCTCAGATCAATCCTTCAGCACACTGTCAGTTAGGAATCAAAGCTCGAACAAGGTTGGCAGGGGAGGAAACAGCTTTTCAAATTCCTCCGCACACAACCTTAACGAGATGCCCGTTCGGAGGCAAGCAGCGCCCTGGCGCCCACAGACACACACACACAAGCCTTTCCTTCCTTTCTCTTCCTCTCCCTCCCAACTTCCCACATGCTCACATGCACGCACCCTTCACTCTAAACATCCGTGCCTTTGCCGGAAGCCCTTAATTTAAAGAAGAAAAGAAAAAGAGCTTTTTTGGGGGGAAACACACACACATGAAAAAAGATACCCAACACATAACAACTGTTTTCAAGTTCATCCCAATATTCTCTCTCTCTCTCTCTGTTAATAATTGATGTCAAGAAAAAGCTTGCTCGCTCTTTTTCAAAAAAGAAGGGGGGGGGAGAGAAGTCACCTTGTTCGTGGTGGAGAAAGGGTTGGTGGAAATAAATAAGTAAGGAGGAAGCTCAAACCTGGCTTTGTTTGAAAGGAGGAGGCAGTGGCTCTAATAGGGAGGGCTGCAACGCTTCGGCAATACGCCTGTCTCTATTTGCATCCCCTCCGCTTTTGAAGGCCGTATTGTGAAAGATAAGTTTAAAGAAAGGTATTGCTTCATTGTATTACTTCAATGCGCTGCTTACCTCGTTGGGGAAGAGGCGAGGAACGCAGGGAGTCATTAAGGCTGGCGATGTAAAACAACCTTGCCCTCTCCTTGTAAGGCCTTCCAGCTCCTCCAAGGAATGTAGTCCTTGGGCTCTCTTCTCCTCTACAGCAATGCCTTGGCTGAATTTGAAACAGTATTGTGCTGTAGCTAGGACCGGCCTGTCCATGGGGCAGACCATGGCAGCTGCCTCAGGTAGAAGAATCAGAGTGTACGCCTCCTGCTGCCAGAGAAGTGAGGACAAGCGGTTAAAGTTGCTTCTGGCATGATCATCTTGTGAGAGCCCAGTGAAATCACGCAGGGGCCTCTGGAGGCCTCTCACAAGATGCCATGGGACTCTTGTGCAATCTCACCAATAACTGCAGCTGTGCAACCCTGGTATGTGAGGCTTTGGCGTGGGTGGCAAGGGGTGGCAGTGTATGGTACGCACACAGGGAGGCACCTTCCTGCTTTGCCTTAGGCAGCAAAGTGGGATGGGCCGTTCCTGGCTGTAGCTCAGTGGTAGAGCATCTGCTTTGCATGCAGAAGGTCCCAGGTTCAATCCCTGACATCTCCAGGTAGGGCTAGGAATGTCCTGTTTTCTGAAATGCTGGAGGGTTTTTGCCAGTCGATGCAGGATTTGAACCCTTGTCTTTCCCAGGTCCTAGTTCAGCGCACTGGCTTTGGCTGTCTTCTCAACACTTGACTTCTCATTGAGGCCCCAACATGTGTAAGAAGAGCCCCTGCTGAAACAGACCAAAGGCATAGCCAGTCTTGCTTCCTGTTTCTCACAGTGGCTAACCAGATGCCTGAGGGAAGCCCATAGGCAGGGCTGGAAAAAAACAGCAATCCCTTGCTTGCAATTACATAGGAAGAGCCCTGCTGGATCAGAACAAAGGCTCATCTACTTCAGCATCCTGTTCTCAGATCCAGCCAACCAAATTCCTGTTTGAAAGCCAACAGCTGGGGCTGGAAGAATATATCCTCCCTTCTACTTGCCCCTAAGCAAAGTATACTTACTTTTAAGAGTATACTTCAACCAACATTTCACTTCAGCCACATGGAAATTAAGAGAGGATCCCATCGCAAGCTGCCAAGTTTAGGAGCAGCCTAGTGACTCAGCAGAGTTACAACTGTGGCAATGTGACAGTTTCAAACTAAAATATTGATGGGGAAATTGCTCCGCTAGAGATAGCTGAGGTCAGCTTTTACGATCCAAGAGTATGTAAGCTATGCACTCTCCACATCCACCAACACCATAAAAAAGAGACAGCGTTTTTGTGCTTGTATTTGCGTGCACAAACCTTGGAATGACTGTGTTGTTTCCGCAAATCATTTATTAGATTAGAAAACAAAAGACCCAGGAAGCTGCTTCAAAAGATGAAACGGGTTAGGCAAGCTTCAACTCACAGATGATGGAATTGGCAGTGTCTTTATTAGAATAAGTGGGATGCGGGTGGCGCTGTGGGTTAAACCATAGAGCCTAGGACTTGCCGATCAGAAGGTCGACGGTTCGAATCCCCATGACGGGGTGAGCTCCTGTTGCTCGGTCCCTGCGCCTGCCAACCTAGCAGTTCGAAAGCACATCAAAGTGCAAGTAGATAAATAGGTACCGCTCCAGTGGGAAGGTAAATGGTGTTTCCATGCACTGCTCTGGTTCGCCAGAAGCGGCTTAGTCATGCTGGCCACATGACCCGTAAGCTGTACGCCAGCTCCCTCGGCCAATAAAGCAAGATGAGCGCCGCAACCCCAGAGTCAGCCACGACTGGACCTAATGGTCAGAGATCCCTTTACCTTTACCTTATTAGAATAAACAGGATTTGCACAGGAGTGTTAGGCCTACTCTTTTTTGGTAGGTCTTGCCCTTATGAGGCAGTTGCAGAGACTGAAGCCTTCCCACAACTGCCTAAGCCCTGGGGTTTCCCCCAAGCAATCTGAAACTGTGCCTGAGTGCCTGTCTCCGCTTCTCCTGCTTCATGCCTCTCTGTGTTCCAGGAGACCAGGGAGAGGGGGACCTTGTCGCAGCAGGAGGAAGAAACACCTGTGCTTCTTCACCTGCCTGACTCGTTTCTGCCTCTTGGCCTCCTTCATCCCACTCTCCTGCCTCTGCTTCTTGACTTTTCTCTGCCACAGACTCTCCCTTCTCACCAAGCCCTGTTCCTCTTCAGCCTCCAACACTTCCTCCTCCCAGTCTTTCCCTTCTGACAACTCATTGCTGTCCCACAACCACACCTCAGGCCTTCTTCCATTGGGGGTTCCCCAGCTGTTTCCTCCCACCAGTTTCAGCCCAAGGTTCTGGAGAAGTGGAGCACATGGTGCTGATGGACATGGCCAGAAGCAAAAACTGGGAACAAGAGAAGGATCCTAACCTATGTACTGGGCCTATTTCAGTCAGATGCTCTGACAAGATGTTTCCCCACACTCATCCAGCAAGAGGCATTATCACACCTGAGAGGGAGACTGGGCAAGATGAGTGTGGACTGGGAGGGGGGAGGGATTTGACCCCCAAGGAAGAAGAGTTCACCACCTTCTGAAGGAGTTTGTTCCACTGTTGAACAGCTCTTACTGTCAGAAAGTTCTATCTGATGTTTAATAAGAATCCCCTTTCTTAGGAGTGAGATTATTACAGTCAGGATAAAAGGATAAAGGATAAATGTTTGTTTGTTGATGTTTTTTTCTTTTATGTTTGTTGATATGTTTGTTATAAATTTGGAAAACTAATAAAATTTTTTTAGTAAAAAACAAACAAACACTCCTTTCTTGTAACTTGAATCCATTGGTTTGGGTCCCGCCCTCTGGAGCTGGAGAAAACAAGCTGTGTGTGTATATATATATATAAATATATTATTAAGGAAATAAGTAAGTGGGGCTTACTTCTGAGTAGACACGCCCAGGATTGCACTGTAAGCATTCCACAGAGGAGTCCACTGAGCACAAAGGCTTTCACTCCTCTGGAGACAGGATGCGACGCAAGGTTCCAGCTGCAGTGTCCCTTCCCCTGGTCGCAAGCATATTCATCACCACTGTACAAAACACTTGCTGCCAAAAGGGCAGGCCACGCCACAAATGCCAATAAATGTATTAACATTTAATGTACCCTGTTAATCTGGTCATTGGGACTTGGGCTGCTGAGGCTCTGCTTTCCCTTCACTGAGCACCCTTCCCCAGCATTTTAAGCATTCAATCCATCATCGCTGATCATAGATTGATTCGATTGCCGATAGGCCAATACTGCATTCTGCAGCGCACACACCCTCCCCACCTTTTAATTTTCAGCATCAGGTTTTAATTACGAGCTGCGGTGTTGCCCAGCCATGTCAAAGTGCATCAAAGTCTGTCTGGGTTCTGTTGTGAGTGAAAACCCCAGCATAAATCATTGATCTATCTTTGTTGGAAATTAATCTATCAATGGCTCCCTTGGGACAGGACGAGGGCAGAGTACAGAGAAGTTGTCCGCAGAAGCTGCTTTCAGAGTCACAGTCGAGAGCGGCCATGGCCAACCTGGTGCTCCCTAGGTGTTTCGAACTACAATTCCCATGCACCCCAGCAAGTAAGGTTGTGCTGGCTGGGTGCTGACAGGAGTTGTAGTCCAAAACATCTGGAAGGCACCAAGTTGGCAAAGTCTGGCTGAGAGGAAGAGAGAACAGTGTGGTTTGGTGTGATTATCATGGAGCATCTATGGGGAAGGGCCCAGGGGCAAAGCACCTGCCTGTCATGTAGAAGGTCCCAAGTTCAATCCCCGATGCATCTCCACATAGGACTAGGAAGAACTTCTGCCTGAAACCCAGGAGAGCCACTGCCAGTCAGTGTAGACAACACTGAGCTAGATGGACCAATGGTCTGGCTCAGTATAAGGCAGTTTCCTATGTTATTTGCTAGATCAGGTGTGAGGGCCACATTACCTTTTAGATGACCTTCGAAGGAGCACATGCCTGAGGTTTCTCACACCTGATACTGATAACCTGCATTCTAGGTGAATGTCAGGTTACTCCAAAAGCATATCTTCCACTTGCTGTCAGTTTAGCAGGATACAAATATATTGTGACAGGATGAGGCTGAAGCTGGTTCCTGGTTTCTTGGTAAACTAGACTCCTGATTCCCAGTTTCTTGTTCATCATGGGACCTTGCTTCAACTTCGCTATTTAAACACAGAGCTGCTTGAACAGCCTGAATAAGGAAGGGAATAGACACTTTTGCACCGGGGGGAAAGTGTTGGGCCACTCCAGATTGTATATCTAACCTAACCTTTCAGATGACCTAGAATTGTCTCAGCTTAAAGCTTCATTTGCATGGAATGCTCTTCATTCATTCCACCTTATTTTTATACTGCATTTTGTTTCAAGGACATACAAAGGTCACTTTCAGACTGTCAGCATTTTGCAGAAAGGATTCGAGAGCATGCTGGACATTTAGGTATTTGCTGCTAGGAAAGTGACAGGGAAAATGCCTTAAAATGAGAGAAGTTAACAGGAAGATGTGTAAACCCTGCACAAGCAAATCCAGATAAATGTGGGGCAAATATTTACTATTGTAGAGCTGTCCTGCAAACAAAGCAGAAAAAATGCTCAGTATTTGACTGGACATCGTCTAACCTCTGTGTAAATTTTGTGCAAGTAAATATCAGTTAAAGTGGAATTAAACAGGGCGCATGGAGGAGCCCCAATGTGAAGCATTCCTTTGATACTTCTGGAAAACTCAAATGGCTTATTGTACAAAGACCTAATCTCATATTTGATAGATGCTGCTCAGCTAGATACACCACTGGAAATACTCCATGTAGTTCTCATTGCAGCGATGGTGGTACAAAGACTGGTCTCTTGCCCTAGCTGAAAAACTTATGCAAAGACTTAAGGTAATGAATGAAAGCAGGAGGGACAAATTTGCAGACACATATTTGCAAGCCTTTAATCAGATAATAGGACATGGGACACGCGTGGTGCAGTGGGTTAAACCACAGAGCCTAGGACTTGCTGATCAGAAGGTCAGCGGTTCGAATCCCCACGACGGGGTGAGCTCTCATTGCTCGGTCCCTGCTCCTGCCAACCTAGCAGTTCAAAAGCTTGGTTTGGAGATGGGGGGGCTGGATGGACCCCCCTATGCAGAGATGTTTTGATTTTTCAAGTCTGGCTTTAGGTCAGGAGGAGCTCAGAGTTGTGGGGGCCCCTAATTTTGGAGGGGCCTTGAAACATGCCTTTAAATACCACATGGATTTCAATGCTGACTATGGAAAAGGGGCTGACTTGTCGAGAAGGGACAAAAATATTGTCAAGTTGGAGTCTCCCAGAGTGAAAGGAGCAGAAGACAAAGTAAAGTACAGGTATAAACATGAAGAAGACTCATGGAAGGGACATGGAAAAGACTTAAGAGCCTCGGATATAAGGTCACCAGGTTGATGGACTAGATGGATGGGATAGAAAGGACTGACAAAACCCGAGATCAGGAGAAGAGACGATGGATGAAGATTGGAAGAAAGTTTTAAAAATTTATTTAGAAAAGTATCGCAAAATTAATGAGTATCAGAAAAATGTTGGAATGAAATTAATTGGCTTTAGCGGAAATGTTAAAAAGAATTATGTA